TGCTGACACTCGCGGGCCGATGTGTGGTGTACTCGTGCTTGAAAGGGCCATCCTGTCCAGATTTGACAGTTAATTGAATTGGTTGGGCTTAAAAGAATTACCCTTTTCACACACAGTGTCACCCACACCCAAAAAAAATAAAATAAAAATAAAGATATCATCATTTTGCTGACCGGGCCCACGAAATTCAGAAATATTTGGTTTTACTCGTCAACTTCCATCGCCTGGATTCCAATGCCAGTCTGCATCTCAACAGTTCATCGTTGTACCCACTGATCTACTCATTTTCATGGAATTTTCTGATGACTTTTCTGAACGTGCTCGTTCCGGGACGCTGGGCCCGGTTCCCAGTTTGTGCCAATTAGTGAGGATATGGTTGTATCTATGGGACGCTGGACCCGGTTTCGATTAGGTGTTGCTCCCCACCAATAGATGGAGCTTGTGTTTTGTTAAAAAAAAAAAAAAAAAAAAAAAAAAAAAAAAAAAAAAATCTACTCTCATGGGTACTAATAATAAAATAGTATAATCAAATAAAATAGTAAAATAATAAAATAAAACAATAATAAAAAAATAAATTAATACGTTTTTTTAAGATGATACACCCAGACTATTAGTCTGGCCCTAGATAATACCGCAACCAATAAAGTTGAATAAACCCGTATGGTATGATTAATTAAAAATACTGTTYATTATGCTTCAGATATGCTTACAATATAAGTTATGGGATAACCTAATCACACAGTTATAATCCTACACATCTTACCAGAACAAAAAAATATACGCACTCCCTACRGTCAAAATGACACCTGCAAAAAATATTAGTCCGAAACGACACTTATCCTGCTAGATAAGACAGCACCCTCACACAAAAAAACAAATGACGACCAGCATCTCACACACACACACACACACACACACACTCCTGATCGCTCACAAGAGTCTTTGGGGTTCCGAACTGTAGAATGTACTTCTGTTTGAACTCACGGATCACCAATTTTGTTGGAGCGTGAGGTGGCAAAGGAATCAGATTAAGGAACTTAGAGAATCGGTCAACAATCACCATGCTTGTGAGTAGCCGTTCTTACTTACCTTTCCCAAGTCGGTGAAGTCGATGGAGACGGACTCCCCGGACCATCGGGAATGGGAAGGGGTGTGAATAGCCCCATAGGCTTTTGTCTGCATGGTTTGATTCGTTGACAGATTTGACATTCAACCACAAACTTTTCAGCATGTGTCATGTGTCTTATGACTCTTATGTGGTGGGTGGTCCCCACCTTTACCTAATACCTCCCAGTCATCTGACATCATCAACGTTTTTGCAAGGATAGACTTTTTTGCGAGGATCGACTTTTTTGCAAGGAGGTCAACTTTTTTTAATATCTTTTTGCAAGGATCGACTTTTTTGCAAGGAGATGAAACTTTTTTTAATATTGTTTTGCAAGGAGATCAATTTTTTTGCAAGGATCGACTTTTTTGCAAGGAGATCAACTTTTTTTAATATTTTTTTTGCAAGGATAGACTTTTTTGCAAGGAGATCAACACATTTTTTTTTTTTTTTTAATAAAAAGCCTATACTCTTCTCTCAATTTTTCCTCACACTACCTACCTACCAGTACTCCTACCTAGCGGCATATGGGGAAACCCGTAGCATACCAGAGCCGTGTTTTTACGGCCCCTCGAGCCTGCAGGATACCGGCCAGGGGACGGCCGGTAGCACCAGGGATAAAGCGGACCAATCCCACGTGCCTCCCCTCAGGCCCCTCCCCTACGAACATAGCAGACTCTGCTTGATGCCGATCGGGGGATCCAGTGGTCTATCTCTTGGGTAGCGGGTGCCAAGTAAGCCCAGGAAGGCATGAGGCCAATGGGAATTGAACCCATGATCTCCTGAATGCCACTTGTGAGCCTTACCAACTGAGCTAGGCCGCTGGGAGATCAACTTTTTTTAATAGCAAGGAGATCAACGTTTTTGCAAGGATCGACTTTTTTGCAAGGAGATCAACTTTTTTTTAATATTTGTTTGCAAGGAGATCAACTTTTTTTCGCGAAAAGAAGTCGACTTTTGGTGCAGTCGTCCATAACAATTTCACGAAAACCTAAAACGCCAGGGCCTCTGATTGTCTGTGCCACATACCGGCAGTTCTTTCCGTCTGTCTTCTCAGTATAATGCACTCCAGACTCCAGATTGCCCCATCACACAAGGGAGTAGATTCACTTCAAATTTATGGCAAACCGTTGTGGTGGGGTTCAGTCTGACACCGCGGCGGGAAAATCTTGGTGCAAGAGAAGAATCACGCTCAGGCCACTTTTTCTCTCTGAGACGGTTTTTTTTTTTTTTTTTTTTTTTGGGTTGTAAATCCGACAAGCATGGGGATGCAGGATACACATCCAAGATATGTTATTTGTCGCGTCAGATGAAAGAGGCCCCAGTATTAAGGGAGTCACTGGGGTGAAAAAAACAATAATTTAAAGTTGAAGATTCTCCTCAACCGCTCCTCATTCCCATAATGATTTTTTTTTTTTTTTTTTAAAGTTAACTACACTATTATATTCTTCTCTCAAATCTTTCATCATCTTTCAAATTCTTTCAATTCACCTTTACTACCTACCTACCAACCACTACACCTAAGGCTTAGGGCCTCGTTACACCCTCCTTGGAAAATCCTCAGGAATTAGGAGGAAGTGCTTTGATTAATTTATCATTTTAGGCATCATGGTTACACCGTGTCCTTGGAGCGTCGGCTTAGAGATTCATCCTTGGAGCTTTTTCGTGGGGAAAAAGAAAAAAGAAAAAGATAAACAGTTGTGCTTGAGGCTTTCAGCCAATAGGGTGTCGCCACGATCCCGGTTCGACCGTCTTAACATCTCCTCTACGTGTGTGTCCTCTCCTCTGCGTCAATCGCGGCTCCTTGAGCCCAAAGGACCTCAGGAGGACCCTTGAATCCAAGGACGCGATTCTGAGGATCCCCAAGGAAATCTCTCGGTAGCGTTAATCCAAGGAATTCGGTGGATTAGGACGCGGTGTAACCATGCCGAATTCATAAAAATCGTCTTCCCAAGGAGGGTCTAACGAGGCCCTTATACAGGGGACCTCTGCAAACATAGCTTTGTTGTCTCCCTCCAGCCATCAGAGGGGATGCATGTTGCCCCCCACCCGAACCATGGTGGTCAAGGATGGGGTGGGGCCGCGGGTTGGGGGCCGGCAAACGCAAAGACCGAGCATTTTGCCAGTAGCTGCACCTCCCTTCTCATAGTCCCCCAGGACCCCCACCCCCAACCGAATAACAGCAGTGTCTAAGGCCAAGTTGAACACCCTCCCACACACCACACACAACCCACTCACACTCACACTCGTGAGCAGGGTCCTTTTTTCTATTCTCGCTCTCATTTTTTCTTTTCTTTTCTTTTTTTCTTTTTCTTTCTTTTTTAAGAATCCCACGCCCTACATGCGACAGATTTGCCAGATCACACAAGGGAGTGGAATCACTTCATGGCATAATGTTGAGGCTGGGTTCAGTTTTACACCACCGTGGGAAACTCTTGGTACAGGTGTACTTAGTATGGATTGCAACATTTTTTAAGAATCCTGCGCCCTACATGTGTGTGTGTGTGTGTGTGTGTGTGCGTGTGTGTGTGTGTGTGTGTGTGAAGGCACAGACATGAAATCGCAGCAAAAACAGACAGACACGTAACACACATCAGCCCCAAAAACAAAGAAGATGAAAATGTCAAATTCCAAAAACTGACACAGAACCTCTGTTGAACCAAAGCAATCGGGATGACAAGAGCCCCTCTCGCTGCGCTAACATTTTACAAAAGAACATGAAATGAAGCGCCCCTCACAGTGCTCACACGGCATGCCACGTGGCATGTTCCGATCTACAAACAACAACACAACGAACTATCCAGAGGACGGTACTGCGTCGCGGATTCAGTGCATAGCCCATTACAGCGGTCCTTGTCCATGGTCGCGCAGGATTCACGAGTGACAACTTTCTTCATCACCAATAACGCGCTCGCAAAAGGCGCCACGTGGCACTACCATGGAACGACAGACGAGCGAGTGGATGATCCCGGCCCAGTGCCCACGACAGCGGCGTCCTTCAATCGATTTCGACACGGCAATACGCAACCCGTATTGGCCGTTGCCACCCTCCACACCCCGCTTGCGACGTTGTCGAACTTCATCCCGTCTGGCCGTTCATCACATCTGCCACGTTGGATAGCGTTGCTGTGGGTGTCCCCGAAGCGCACACGTCGACGCAGAGGTTCCGTCGTCGTGGTACTACAACAGTACTACAAGTCTACAACTCCAATATCCATGGTCCGTCTTCGCTTTGAGTTGTGGCAAGACTACCGCCAACAGAAAAACGTGCGCGGGCAAGACTATGGCCAGGCACTATCATCTACATACTGACCTCTCCATGCAGATATCCGCGACCGACGAGAGGCGGATCAAGGAAGGTGTAGTAAAATGTGCCCATGTCCAATCTCGCCGCGTGCTCAATCGCCCAATTGTCGACGAGGTTCAGCACGATGTCGCCGACGATGTGGACTTGCAAGCTCGCCCAATCGTTGGGGATGAACTACCCCGTCTTCTTCACCCACAGAAGGACGTGTGACAAGTGCCGCTTCCGGTATCTGAGAGCGGTCGACAACTGCTTTACTGTTGACGTCAACGGAAGAGAGGCGGTACGATTGTCGCATTATCTCCGGCCCAAAAGCATCGACAGGGGGGGCGATGGAAGCAACCATCGCGCTCTCTACGCCTTTCCCAGCACATCAAACTCTCCCCTCTCACCATCTCCCTCCAGGCTAACTCCCCGGCCATGTCTCGCCTTCGCCTTCGCCTCCAGTCTTCTCTCTCTCTCTCTCTCTCTCTCTCTCTCTCTCTCTCTCTCTCTCTCTCTCTCTCTCTCTCTCTCTTGCAGGACAGTGCAGTTTTCTCACATTGACGAGATGAGCACAGTGCGGCTTTTTATAGGTATGGACCGGTGCCACACCGGTTTGAATTTTTGTTTTTATGTTTTGGTGGCCGTTTTTCCCCCCCCTTTGTTTTGTGTATTTGTACGCATTGTTGTGGCTGTCGGTGAACGACAACAGGAAAAGGGACCACATAAATGTTGCCCCACATCAACGACAAGCGGCATCACTATTCGGCGTACTGCCCTACCTTGACAACGGGTCGGTATCAGCACCGGTGTCCGCTCCGTGGGTGAGCCGTGAACCTGTACCCGCCATGACCCCGACCAAGACAGCATTCCCTTGGTGCATTGCTCCCGCCACAGCGCCTATCCCTGTCGCCATCTTGCCCATTCGGGCAGCCATCAGCACTTGCTCTAGCAAGCGTAGTGGCAGCCTGATCCAAACCCTCGCAAACTGCCCTCGTCGATTCCTCCATAGCCTATGGCACACCGTATATGGAAGCCGCAGATTCCCCCCAATGCGCTTTCCCCGAAAGTCCGAACTGGTGCGCCGTGTCTTCGTGACACCATCAAAAGCATCTGTCCCCATGCCTTCGGAGTCTTCGGACCCCTCCTCACTACCCGGCGTGGACCCTCCCCCTCCGATGCATATTGTGTTGTCGTATCTCACCGAATCGGATGCCTTCAACCTGTACCACTCCATGGCATCCCACAGCTGCTTTTCAAACGTAAGGGAGAATCCCAACTTCCTCCGCTCTTTTGTCGTTCTCTCGAATTGGGATGGCTGTCGGGATCGGTCGCACGCATCACGGATCTCCCTCACCTTCTTCACAAGCTCCGACCACTTCTTTCGACAATCCTCCGCAGTCCTCGAGTATCCCTCTCTCAAGTGGTCGGTGGTCCACTCCCATCTTCTGCATCTCGTCATGTGTCGCTGAGGACCTTCCGCATCAGCCATAAGAGCGTCGTCCTCAGCACACACCACTGCGAGCGTCACTCTCTCCTCCAATGTCGAAGGACTGTTCTTCTTTGGTGGACCGCTCGACCTCACCCCCTTCCGGCGGGGCCCACATCTGCCATGTTGTTGCGTGCCTGGTGTCCGTCGGAAGAGGCACCGGTAGTGACCCGCACCCGTCCTGCACTACCGCACCGTCCTGCAGTACGACTGCAGAACCTTCCACGCCATCAGCCCCATCCTCCAACCCCTCCACTTGCAAACTCCGAGTCCCAGCTTTCACCGCCCATGTCCTGCATGTACTCCAAGACCTCTGCTGTTTCGTCACAAGTAGGAACCCCTGTGCTTGCCGGGCATGGCATGCCATGCCCGGTTGTGCCATCCGTCCCTCTCGCCTCACCATCAACCGTCGGTCTCCACAGGTGACCCCTGTGTCAATCCAGCCCCCGCCCCGCCGACGGTCACATGCCCTCCGTCATGACGCGCAACACTGCTCTCATCATCGAGTCTGATGTGAACGAAGATGTGTCCATTGTCGATCGGACACGGGTGATGGACACACTTCGATGGATCTCTGTCTTCTCCCGCCCTTCCCAGCTGATGACGGCAAGACGGTCGGCATCATCAGGGGGCTTAGGTTGGACCCCGGCAGGAGCGGGGACTGATATGGGGAACCACACACTCGCAACTCCGCGGGGCATGACCATCCCCGCTGATCGTATGAATGGTATGGCCGGCGTCTGCGTGTACATGCCAGCATTGTGCTTGAATTGGGTGCCGACAGCTTGGGGAGAGAAGTCGGACCCCTGCTGCGACAAGTACCTCCAGGAAGGTGGAAACACGTCCATCAAACCTTCCCTGTTGCACAAATTTGCTGCCCTCACCCCCTACTTCGTGATAGTTGGACGACCCTGACACATCGCTGAACATCTCGGCGGTGAAACTACGGCCATCCATTCTTGCACCCCACACCAGACGACGGCACTGTGAAGAAGTACGACAGATCTACCGTCGTGTGGCCACTGGCCAGGAAAGCAACAGCGGCCAGGAATGCTCAGATCCCCAACAACACTAGGAAGGCTACAAAGACCTATGCCACAATCACCCCCCCAAAACGAGCACGCCCAACAAAGAAAAGTGCTGCGGCTGCTGCCTATTGTCATCAATGACGAGTCTGACGATGATGATGACGGCCGGGCAGGTGGATGACAACCGATTCGAACCTTCCCCGGGCTCGCTGTCTGCACTGGGAATGCGATGCACACGGCACCAATGCACCAATGAGTGGCGATCGTCCATCGAATCCCCACGTATGTCGGCCCTGTTGCTCTCTCAACTAATCCTCATGCAATACGATGCGGTCGGCATAGCGTGGAACAAAAGGTGCCAAGTCGGCAACGTCCGTTATCAAGGTCCGCCTTCCACCACGGACGAGTGCAGGACGGATGGCACGGACGACAGCACCGATGTCCATAGCCACAGGGGCCGCCACGTGCACGGAAGATGTGCGAGTGATGGACGTGCAGGTTTCCCCAACACTGCCCTGAAAACACCCAGGCTTGTTCCGCAGTTAGACAGCCTCCCCGCACGCACGTAGTTCAAGTTGCCGGTGATGGCATGTGCACGTAGGCATGCCGACGCCCATGCTGAAGGACAACAATGGAGTTAGCGGAAGACGTGCATGGATTCCGGTGGTCAATGTGGCGACGATGACAGAGGCACGACCGCCGACCGGCCTCAGGCGATGGTAATGAATATGTGATCGCACGTAAATGGCTGTTACCAAAGTTCGGGTACTGGAGACATTTCAAATTCAAATTTCGAAATGGCAACGTGGTTCCCGCCCGTTTTTTTTTTTACATTTTCCAGCCGTACTAGGACGGAAGGCCCCGGGGCCGGTACTGTCGTGCGACAATATGACGAATACGCACCAGGCTCGCACGTTCCAGGGACATCAGACATGGCATGGACGGACAATCCATGCTCCGTCCACGGAACCTGGTTTTGGAAAAGTTGAAAATGGCTCTGGGCGGCAACCTCAGATTTCGGCACAAATTTGCGGCGTCAATTCCTTCTTTGGCCCTTTTCCAGATCGCGGGGGATGTGAAAACGTCCACGCCAGATCTTCCAGGCCACAAAATGCGGGCTGTGGGGTCCTGGAAAACAGTTTTCGGAAGACATTTCGGCCAAAGCTTTATTGGCCTTGCGTGTATGTTACGTATGCATGATGTGCCAACCATTTTTTCAACGCAGTAACCGCCCTAGAAATTGGACTACGTGCGAGTGACTCTTTTGCTATTTCGCTTGTTCGCATATGCACGTACTTGGGATTGCTGAGATTAATAAGAATGTTAAGAAGGGTGGAATCCCTGCTAACTGCTGCTTTTGACGTGAAGGAGATGTTCTGTAATCTCACTCGCGCCTCGATCATGAGAGCCTTGGAATGGGCTATTGACTACTGGGAAGGGCGCAATGTGAGAAGGGTTCTGTTAAAGAAGCATGGGAAGGATGCTAAGCTGCGAAGGGGTAAGTTGCAGGAAGGGTGGGAGACCATTTATCTTGCGGTTATCAAAAAACTTGTCTCCTTTAAGTTGAAACATACCTTGATCAAAGTCAGCGGGTAATCATGCGGCGGATGATTGGAATTCCTATGCGAAAACCTTCGAGTCCTTCCATTGCCTTGCTTCTCTGTGTCTTCTGTGAGTTTCCTTCCTTTCCAGTTTGGGAAGCGATGGTCGTTTGGTGCATGGCGTCCGTCGAATGCTGTGCTTTTCCTTTCGCTTTTCTATGGTGTCTCTCGGATTGACCTCTGGATTATCACGTTTGTGTTGGATTGTGCCGAACCACTTTTTGTAGCGCGCGACTTTCTGCGCGGTTGCACTGAGGGGTCCTAAGCTGGGAAGGTTGGGTCAATTACGAGAGATTGGGATGGATGGGAAATTACATCAGTACCCTCGCTTCTTCGTTTTTTGCATCGATTCTTTTCGGATGGCTGAGTTCGAGCCGGGTGTGTTCCGAGACGGGTGATTGATTGGTACCCGGGACGGGTGATTGATTGGTCGGATGGCTGGCGCGCCGCCAAGCGCTCGATTAATAAATGTTGACGTCATTTCTTTTTGGTTCGGTTTCGGAACTTTTGGGTGCGGACATCGTGCGGGAATTTGCTTCGTTCTTTTTGAATTTTCTTTTTCAATTCTTTTTCGAATTTTGTCGAGCCCCAAATGGCTCTCGGAATTTCGGACTTTCCTTCCGGAACCTGTACTTTTGCTTTTTCGCATTAGTTAGGAATTTATGAATTTTGTAATTAGGACTTTTTTTTGCTGCGCGGCGCCTTTTGCTTACACGTTTCTTTATGCGGCTTCATTGAAATTCTGATTAGTCGGCGCCTTTAATCGGGTGTGTAACTGTAATTTTGGGCTGGCGACATTGTAACTATATCTTTCTTCTTGTGCTTCGTCTTTCCCGCCCTTCGTCTCTTTCTTTTGCTGCGTTCTTGATAAGCCACGGTCTGCATGATCGGATCGATGCGTGGAGAGCGGCTACGTCCCCCACGTCGCGGCCCGGTCATACAAAACGCAAGCGCTCCCTCTCTAATCTCCCTTCTAAGTCCTTGTAATTCCGTGTTCTTCGCGCATGCATGCACGCTATAAATTCCGGTTGCGCGATTAGTTAGCTCTCTTAACCAGCTGTTGGAAGCTCGGGGTTGCGCGATTTGAAAAGGTCGGCACACGAGCGAAGTAAGAGGTGAGTAAAGCAGGAGTCGAGCGACCCGACGAGCTGGTGCCAAACGCGCGGGGTTGACGCGGGCCACGATGGGCGCGGGCGAGCCAGACGGGTGTGGGAGGACTAAGCGTGGTGACGGCTTCATGGGTTGGTGCGCGACGACGAACTGTCCGCATCGGAGAAGGAGAGAGAGGAAGAGAGAGTTGAGGTTGATGGACGCGGATTTGCTGTTTCTTTTATCTTTTCTCCCTCCTGTCTTGTGTATATAAATTTTGATTTTGCCTTCGGGTGATTTGCCCGTTTCTGTTTTTCGGAATCTGGACTTGGGTTTTTGCTCACACTGGTCTTTGCGATTTCCATCTCAGATGCACTGGGTGTATGTTGCTGAATGAACGGATGTATGGGTGCTATGTTTGGTTGCTTGTCTCTCTACCGGATCCTTGCCTTTGCCCTTGTTACTGCCTTTGATGCACTCATAAGAAGGATAGTAATTTTGTGCAATCGGTGATCCTGCTCCCGTTTTTGCTCGTATTTTTGGACTGTTGTGTTTGTTGCATCTTGCATACTCGAAAATTACGGAGTGATTAGACAGTCGGATGTCTGGCCCAGCGAACGCCGTACGAGGACGCGTGTAAACGCGACTTGATCTGCGCATTTACACGTGCCCCCGTGTGTTGATTCGTCAATTCCAAAAAGAACCATCGGCGGCAGAAATACTGTCTGACTGGATGCGGCCATCCGGGGCCTGTGGCAGAGCAATCATCCCGGGCGAACACGTGTAAGCGCGACTCGATTCGCACCAGCCAGCACGTGCTCGCACGCGGTGATCGCAATCGGCACAGACCCGCCCTTAGGCATCTCGTAGCTCTGCGACGACATAATGACACGCTCAGAGAGCTTGGGGTCGTTGTTGTACAACCCGGACTACTTCACCCCCTGGGTAAACGAAATCCTCCGACAGAGATACCCCTGCCTCACCGAGAACCGACTGTGCCCTAGGGAGTTTCACTGCGCCACCACGAGCGACCCCCGGTGCTCTGATTTCCACACTCAGGACCACACCCACTACTTCACCCACCCCGGCTTTGTCGTTATCTCCACCAGCTTCCCTCCCTTTCACCTTCTTCCGTATCCCCAACTCAGCATCGTCCCGTGGAAGGCCATATCCCCCTACTGGCCCAGTACACCCTGCGGAAATTGTAGACGACGCGGCGATTCGAGAACCCAGGAAACCCGGAGGCCTAACCCAAACGCGCGCCACGTGGCCACTTTCGACGGCCCGACTCATCGGAACCCCACCCACCCCGAAGGGACCTTCCCACAAACCGTCGTCCTCGGAACCAATGGCTCGCCCGGCCCTGAGTGACCCGCGCATGCCATCTGCCTTATGACCAGGGTCGGTCCGCCCTCTCCGCCCAATTGCACTCGTGCCCCCGAAAAACCCTGCCACAGGAGATCTCAGTTCTGACCTGGGACTCCACCCCCCCCACTTTCCCAAAAATCCTTGGCACACCCCTTTTTGCACTTCCAGGCCCACATCCTACTCCGATCAGGAAGTCGCGCTGGGCGTGAGGTTGGGCGTCACAGGATTGTTAGGCCTTAGGGCCGTCCGACTGCATTGCTGGTATAGGCTTTCGGGCCGTTGCTTGTATTGGCCTTGCATGTATGTTACGTGTGCATGATGTGCCAACCATTCCAGAACATTTTCGGCGACGTGTGGGGTCTCGGAAACACTTGCGCGGCAAACATTTTCCTCTCCACAATCCTGTGGGGTCCCAGCCTAAAAGAGTAAAATACTACAATTCTGAATACTTGCAGCAGGTCAGTTGCATGATGATATCTCAAGGCCGTAGTCCTTTTTAAATTAAAAAAAGAAAAGGTAAAGGGTACCTACAAAAAATTACGAGAAGATTAACATGTAGGGGTAAAAAAAAAAAAACTTGCCTGAGAATTCGTTTGGATGTTCTGTACAACACCAGAGATAGCTGTGGGCCCTTCTGGATCCTGGGGCGAGGTCTGGCTATCAAGAAGGATTGGATTGGACACCCGAATCTGGACGTATTTGTGGCGAGGTGCAGAAAACCCGGATTGAACTGCTTTTCCGCATCTCTGCATAAAACACATCCAGATTCAGGAGCTTAATCCAATCCTCCTTGCGACTAGTGGGACTTCGCCCCGGCCAATATGGATCTATAAACATCTGAGGGCGTACGCAGAACAGTACTCTTTTGTTCTATACAAGTCACGGGGACACCCCGGTGATGCCGTGGCATACAGGGCGCTGGCCGCCCGGGCTGCATGTGAACCTGCGGCACCAACTACGCAAACGGGGAGAGAGAGACACAGAGAGAGAGAGAGAGAGAGAGAGAGAGAGAGAGAGAGAGAGAGAGAGAGAGAGAGAGAGAGAGAGCCATGCACACAGAGAGATAGAGAGAGGCTACTTCCATCAATAGGATGAGCAAAATCGGAATGAATCTTCCTCTACAACATGGAAATATACACTGCTTTCCGGTCATGCGCGCAAAGAGATAGAGAGAGGCTACTTCAATGGATAAGATGAGCCAAATCGGAATGAATCTTCCGCTAGAACATGGGAATATACACTGCCACTTTTTTTACTTTTTTTGTGTTTGTTTGTGTGTGAGAGAGAGAGAGAGAGAGAGACAGAGAGACAGAGAGAGACAGAGAGACAGAGAGACAGAGGGACAGACAGACAGACAGAGGCAGAGACAGAGACAGAGACACACATAGAGAGAGAGAGAGAGAGAGAGAGAGAGAGAGAGAGAGAGAGAGAGAGAGAGAGAGAGAGAGAGAACAGGTAAGTCTCCAACCTCGAGGCTGGCCTCAAGGCTCACGCTACTTCCATCTATAGGATGCGTGCATAAATCAAATGAATCTTCCGCTAGAAATGGAAATATACATACACTGCCTGGTTGAATCTGCACGACTCCTGCCGGACCACACTTTCTGCAATCAAAAACGGCGAAACCAACCCGCAGCGAAAAGGGAAAGGGACCCCATTTATAAAACCGCCCCAACACCAACTACTACCAAGCGCCCCCCCCCAAAAAAACGTACGAACGCGCGGGCCCGCCCGCCCCCCCCCAAAAATAAATAAACGTAGGAAACGGGGCACTACGTCTGCCCCATCCAACCCACGTGCAGGCCTCATTTTCCCCGGGCCCAGGGGAAGAGTCTTACGGGCCCTATCCGTCTAATAATAACTATTCTTATTTTCTTAATTAATTGATCTGGATTTTATGAATAATTGAATAAAGATAGAAAGAAATACAGGATTGAAACACGAAATTCTATATTTGTAAAGATAAAACAGATACATAAGATAGAGATTCGTGGTATATCTACAAAACTAAGCATAAAAAAAAAAAAAAAAAAAAACCTTAGCGATATTCTTCTACTCTCCATAAATTCACCTTTCACTATCTACCTACCACTACTCCTAAGCCTATACAGGGGACCCCTGCTAGCATAGCTACCTCTCACGCCAGACAGTCGAGAGAAGACCACCTAGGGCAAGCAGACAGACACTAAGAGCGTCTATTCCCACAGCGAAACTGCATAGCGGCGACAGCAGCAAATCCTTTCACTAAAGCCCTCCATCCGCGCTCCTACATTCCTTACTATCCCTCCCCCTCCCCCTTTGTCCATTCAACAGCATGCCGCTCCACCGTGACGGAATGAATCTAGTCATATTTTATACTCACCCCAATACCGCCAGGCGGAAATCATCGCGCGAGTCCTTAGGGAGACATCGTTTAAAAGTCTAACGATACAGGGAGAGAAGATAAAAAAAGAATGGCCCTGACAGTGTGCGCAAGGATGACACTCCTAAATCGAGAAATGTTCCAAAATTTCCTTTATAAAATTAAAAAAAAAGAAAAAATCATCCCGCGAAGAAAACGAGACAGAAAGGTGGCCGAAAAAAAAAAAAAAAGGAGACAGAAGGTACAAGCAGAAGTTAATTTTCCTTCATAAAAGAAACCAGAAATGGGAAACTACGTGGGAGTCACAAAAATGAGTTGTACTTGCACTATGGGCCAAGATACAGTTTCGAATTGCAGTTCGGACCTGCAAATGTATACAACCCAGCTTGCTGTCCAGGTACGGTGCCCGAACTGCAATAATTGCAAACTGTGTCTTGCCCCCTAGTGCAATTACAACACTTTTTTTTTTGTGACTCTACTGAAGTTCCCCCCCCCCCAAAAAAAAAAGAATCATCGCGCGAAGAAAACGAGACAGAAACGTACCCAAAAAAAAAAAAAAAAAAAAAAAAAAGGGAGACAGAAGGTGCAAGCACAAGTTAATTAACAGGCATAACAACTGTCGACAACGTAAGGAGCAAGCGCCGGAGATTGTAGACCTATCCCCGAGGAGGGTCGTTTCTTGCAGAAGCTAAGGTTTGGAGGCGTAGAGGGGATGAGCTCGCTCAAGTACACGTGTTCCACCTTCTTCTTGCCGCCAGCAACGGCGATGGTGTTCCCTTCGAAGCGGCAGTAGCAGAACCTAGTCATCCCACCCGTCCCGACGGAGACGGCAGCTCCTCTTTCGCCCACTTGAGTCGCGGAATTGCCGACAAACCACGATCGAGAGAAGGTGACGTACTCCCGCCCAGCATTCACAACGACCGTTGATTTCGCCGTATTCCTCTCGAATCCGCATCGCGTGCACTTCAAGCTGCCCTTGGTTATGGTGAAGATGAGCCCTCGATTAGATCGGAAGACGACGTCGGTGGCATCAACACTGCCAAAGAAGATGTCGACGAAGTCGCCATCATTACCGACAACCTTCGAACGGCTGATCGTGAGACTCCCAAAGGGCAAAGAGAGAAGGAGGTCTTTGTTGTTCGACAGCAGGCAATTCTTGATTAGCACATCTGAAGAGGGTGGAGACGAGACGATGCCAGCGAGACCGGTGATCTCCAGATTGAGTAGGGTTAGGTTCTTTCGATCGGGGAAGTGGAAGCCGGCGTACCTTTTTCGGCCGTCGATCTTACACAATCGAGGCTTCCCTTTCGTCTTGCAGTTGCCAACGACCGTAAGATCTGGACACTTCATTTCGCCCAGGTCTGATGTCAGAGAGACGTCAGATGTCAGCGTCAGAACCGTCTTCTTGGGTTGCGCCATAGCCGCTCGCAGGAGAGCCTCCGGTGTCGTCGCCGGCTGAGAGCCATCGCCTTTCCATACTAGGCAAGTTACAAGCAGAAAGCCCGCGAGAATCACAGCCCGCCCGCACGCCGCCGCCATGACAGAATCTCCCGCTGCTGACGAAGCGATCGATCGATCGGTCGCGGTCTTCCTGTTTTGGAAAGAGCCTCACGCCCTCAGCCCTGCAAGAACCGTCTGCAACTCTACTAATTTGCAGGCCAGATACATCCGATGCTACAGGTGGGAGGCAGAGGATGATGACGACGACTAACTGCTCAACGCAAAGATTACAGAAGAGACATCGATCGGGCGCTCTTCCTGTTTTGGGAAGAGCCTCACGCCGTCAGCCCTCCAAGAACCGTCTGCAACTTTACTCATTTGCAGGCCAGATACGTCCGATGCAACAGGTGGGAGGCAGAGGATGACGACGACTAACTGCTCAACGCAAAGATTACCGAAGAGAGAGAGAGAGAGAGAGAGAGAGAGAGAGAGAGAGAGAGAGAGAGAGAGAGAGAGAGAGAGAGAGAGAGAGAGAGAGAGAGNGAGAGAGAGAGAGAGAGGGAGAGAGAGAGAGAGAGAGAGAGAGAGAGAGAGAGATTACCGAAGAGACAAGTTGAACCGTGGAGAGAAACGGTGAAGAGGGAGGGGGAAGGGAGTTCCGTGCGTTCAAGGCAGAAGCGAGGCGCCGGCGATGGCTGCCACAGACGAGGACAAGAGCGTGAGCGTCATAAGAATAGCGCCGTGTAGCGGCAGGCGAATACAGAGGTGAAACTTTAAGTCTCCGACGGACTGAGGGGCAAACGAAAGGCGAAGCTTTGCGGAGCGGAGGGCAAAGAGTCGGCCTCGCTCCACCACTCTCGACATGCACACAAGACAAAAATCATGGCGGTGTATCTTTCCATGTGCTAGCGAAAGATTCACTCTCGTTTCGCACAATGTCATTTCGAGAGGAATGGAGCGAAGCCCAGTCACTGGAAACCGCCGGCGGGGGCGGGTCGAGGTAGGCGGTACCGTGCAAGCGGCGGGGTTTGTACACGGAAAACTGAAGGTGAGGTAAGGAAAAAAAAAAAAAGAAAAAAAAAAAAAAAGTGAGAGAAGAATATAGCTTACGTCAGGAAAGAAAAAAAAAAAAGCGGCGGGGTTTGTACAAGGAAAAGTTTCTTGAGAGAAAAAAAAAAGGGTGGTCTTTTGTTTTTTAGTATTTTAGCGCTTACAGATGTCTTCTCCTCAGCTGTATGCATTTTTTTCTGTCAATTTTGGGCCTCGCCACACCACTGTAGAAACGACAAAAGAACGAATGCATCTTTTCCACAGAAAGAACGTAAGATGCATCCTTTGCTATTTTTGGTAGTGGATGCACTTTTGCCACTCTCTGCATGAAGATGGACTTCTTTTTCTTTTTTTCTTTTTTTTGACATGATGAAGATGGACTCGTTTTGCCATGTCATGGAACATATCTGTTATATTCTGAAGGTTCTCTTACGATAGAGGGATATCGCAAGGGCTTTTCTCAAAAAAAAAAAAAAAAAAAGGAGTTTAGAGGATGCGTTGACTTTTTTGTGTGGGGGGCGAAGTTATAAATCCACCCCGCAACGAAACGCATGTGGCCCCAAACGGGGGACAAAACAAATGGAGGCCATTCCATGGGCATTATTCCATCAGCCCAGTGGTTACAGTCAAGGGGCATGGAGTTGAGCCTACCCTGCACCAGGTGTAGGTGGGGGTGGGAATCCACGGAACACGTGTGGTTATTCTGCCCGTTAGCAGATGAGATCTGGCTCTGGTGGAAGTAGGTGTAGGTGGGGGTGGATATCCACGGAACACGTGTGGTTATTCTGCCCGTTAGCAGATGAGATCTGGCTCTGCTGGAAGTCCATGTGGGAGTCCTGGGTAGAACAGAACTCTCGGGGAAGGCCAAGTGGAACGACCAGTGGGGATACGCAGCTCTTGTTTGCAGGGGAATTGTGATGGATACGATTTGCGGGCTCGTTCTACACTCCTTTAAGGAGGAGCCGATATCAGCAAGAAATGCCTTAGTCATTTTTAAGGAGGAGCCGATATCAGCGCAACAACAGAAGCTCATGATCAAACAATCACTGAGGCTCACCATCCTGGCAGACTGGAAGAGAGCTGGGATCAGAACAGGGGGAGGTCTCTCTTGGTTCAGGAAAGCTTGGACGGGAAAAGAAGCATTGGCAACGGTTACTGAAGAGGGCAAGTTAAAGTTAAATAATGGATAGAACGGAGATTGAGAGAAGAATATAGATTACTTAAAAAAAAAAGAAAAAAAAGAAAAAAGAAAAAAGAAGTCAAATATTGCGAATTGGCTCAAAGAATGACTTCAAGTTGTAACGGATACCCTGAGAAGGAAGGTCACTCAAGAGGAAATAGCCTAACAGAGGGCCTCGCCGGACGGCACAACTAACGAAACGAAACGACCACCAAACTCGCGACGCCTCGCGAAGCCCGGATGCACCGTTTCACTTCATTTTTCGCCTCACCGCCCCACAGCACACACGAAAACTCTCACGAGAACACCCTGGCGAGAGTCGTGCGGGATTCGTCTCGCTACGGTCCAAATTTTTGGACGCTAGTAACACGCTACGGTCCATTTTTTTGGAAGGACCTCTGTTGGAGTGACGCGGCACACTCGTGAGATTTCACAGTTCCTCCAGCCGACCAGCGGAGGACCTACGAGTTCGCGAGCGCTGCAGGCAGGGAGGACTAGCGCAAGTTGTTAAGCTCGCGAAGGGGTGCTGTGCGCGCGAAACGAAGTCATTTTTCTTTTCGACTTCGTTTCGTGCACGGTGCGGTGAGGCCCAGAGAAAAGTACATACAGGAATCCTCTGAGAGAGTAATGATTGCCACTTATTCTGAGTTTAAAGTTGATTTTTTTTTTTTGGGGGGGGGGGGATCAGCTTTTGATATGGGACACAGGACCCGGTTTCCTGCAAGGTTCTCAGATGGGCTTTGGCCCTGACATGTGACTCCGGGTTGAATTGTGAGGTCCCCGGCCTCAAGGTTACCAATATGTGAAATATATTGATATTTGCTTTCAATATATATATGACCACGTCTTGCCAGAGTGTATCACAATGCATGCAACGTCACCATTCACACAGATTATGACTCAACACACACATCGCAGAATGGGGATGAGATGCGAACCAAGTCGCACAGCTTATATTATCTCAAACACATTATAAAGAGTATCTCGAGTTCATGAATCCAAGCGCTCAACAATCATGATATGTCCCTCTCTCGAACATCAGCACAACGGGGCCTGGCTGAGCCAGCGCCACCTCTTAGCAACTCGTCAAGCGCAGAACAGGTAAGTAGTCACCATAGCCAACTCGTCAACTTGTCTCTTTCTTCTCTCTCTCCTTCCTCAAGATCTCAGTCTCAGTCCTCTTCTCTCATCATGCATGCTCACGCCTGCTTCGAGAATCTGCTCTGAATGCTACTCACTATAGACTAAGTCCTAACCCACTTACTATACTAACTCGAAGGGCTGCTTTGGCTGCCACTTGCAAGCCAGCGCCCAGCCTTCTCCTTCTTTCCTAGCGCAGCTTCCTCCTCCAGCGCTAACCCAGCTAGCCAGCGCACAAGTGCATGCAGCACTTCCACGCAATACTGCCAGTGGGAATCTGATGTCAAGGGAGGCTGGCCTATTGCTTTATAATGCTGGCCTCCCCTGGCGAGGTCTGCATTGGTCTGCATTGGCACTTTGGGCCTCCTTCAGTCCCAGACCCATGCATAGGTGTGTGTCCCAGTATTTTCCCCTCAGGGTCTGCTGCTCCGGCAGCCATCTGGCCTGGATTTCGGACTGGGTGTCTGAATCTAGACCCCCCATTAGACTTATACAGAACTGGGAACCTGCCCTTTGACTTCCTTTAGGACAGACACACATTATGCACGAACAGACACTCATACTGCACGAACAGACACACATGTTGCACGAACAGACACATCTCTTGCATGAACAGACATGACTTGCACACCCCCTTGGACGAACAGATGTGACTCCCATATCTGAACATTGCAACTGTTCGTCCAGGGCACAACTGTGACCTTTGATGATGACTTTTACTTAGTCAGGATGCGACTTTTGATCCAGAGAACATGTCCTTTGATCTGCTTTCACGAGTAGGGGGCCCTGGCGAGAGACCTCTCTATGCTACATTTGCCGAACAGGGTCTGAATCGGGTAAAGGCCCTTTTACTCTCGCCGGCCTAGTTTCGAATTCCTCTGAGAATAACCTTCATCTATCTATAATACTTATTCCTCTTCTAGCTGACAATATGAGGTGCAAAGTCAATTAGTTCCTCTCTGGTGAACCAGTGATCTTCACTTGGATCCTGATATGCGAATCTCACTTTATATTGTCCTTGGGGTCTGCCTCTTTGTCCAATTTGGAAAGTGCTTTCAACAACAATCTTATCCACATCGTATTTCCCATTCATACTAGGAGGTATCGCCGATATGCGACTGGGAAACAACTAATTTGTTACATAAGGTAAGAGCTTTGAAGCGTGGAATACTGGATACGTATGCAAATGTAGAGGAAGTTCAATTACATATGAAGGACCATCCACGTCGCCAATCACATCTTAAACCTGCCAAGGTCCTCTGTAGGAGGGTAGCAATTTCTAAGAGATGTTCTCTTCAGGAACAAACTCTTTAGATTTAACCCACACTAGATCACCTACAGTAAACTGAGAAGGTCTTTTGTGCTTATTTGCCTGTTCTATCATTTGATGTCGTGCCTTCATTATATTTTCCTTCACCTTTTCGACGTCTTTCTGATACTGAATAACAAATTCACTAGTTTCTAGTGGAAGCTTATGTACTTGGTCCGGGTTTAGCCGATCAATAGGTTTGCATGGACGCCATCCCAGATGCAACTCCATTGAAGTTTTGCATGTAGACAGATGGACAGAGCTGATATATGCATTAGCAACTTTGGGCAAATGTTCGTCCTAGTCAATCTGGTCGAAACGAATATACATACGCAACGTTTGCTGCAGAATCTTATTCATTTGCTCACTCTGGTTATTTATCTCGGGGTGTCTACCTGACGACATAGTCAATTTAGAGCCATAGACATTCATGAGTTGCTGCCATTGTTAAGTCGTGAACCGTGTGTTTCTGTCACTCACGATTGTCAAGG